ATATTAACATATTAACATATTAACATATTAACATATTAACATATTAACATATTAACATATTAACATATTAACATATTAACATATTAACATATTAACATATTAACATATTAACATATTAACATATTAACATATTAACATATTAACATATTAACATATTAACATATTAACATATTAACATATTAACATATTAACATATTAACATATTAACATATTAACATATTAACATATTAACATATTAACATATTAACATATTAACATATTAACATATTAACATATTAACATATTAACATATTAACATATTAACATATTAACATATTAACATATTAACATATTAACATATTAACATATTAACATATTAACATATTAACATATTAACATATTAACATATTAACATATTAACATATTAACATATTAACATATTAACATATTAACATATTAACATATTAACATATTAACATATTAACATATTAACATATTAACATATTAACATATTAACATATTAACATATTAACATATTAACATATTAACATATTAACATATTAACATATTAACATATTAACATATTAACATATTAACATATTAACATATTAACATATTAACATATTAACATATTAACATATTAACATATTAACATATTAACATATTAACATATTAACATATTAACATATTAACATATTAACATATTAACATATTAACATATTAACATATTAACATATTAACATATTAACATATTAACATATTAACATATTAACATATTAACATATTAACATATTAACATATTAACATATTAACATATTAACATATTAACATATTAACATATTAACATATTAACATATTAACATATTAACATATTAACATATTAACATATTAACATATTAACATATTAACATATTAACATATTAACATATTAACATATTAACATATTAACATATTAACATATTAACATATTAACATATTAACATATTAACATATTAACATATTAACATATTAACATATTAACATATTAACATATTAACATATTAACATATTAACATATTAACATATTAACATATTAACATATTAACATATTAACATATTAACATATTAACATATTAACATATTAACATATTAACATATTAACATATTAACATATTAACATATTAACATATTAACATATTAACATATTAACATATTAACATATTAACATATTAACATATTAACATATTAACATATTAACATATTAACATATTAACATATTAACATATTAACATATTAACATATTAACATATTAACATATTAACATATTAACATATTAACATATTAACATATTAACATATTAACATATTAACATATTAACATATTAACATATTAACATATTAACATATTAACATATTAACATATTAACATATTAACATATTAACATATTAACATATTAACATATTAACATATTAACATATTAACATATTAACATATTAACATATTAACATATTAACATATTAACATATTAACATATTAACATATTAACATATTAACATATTAACATATTAACATATTAACATATTAACATATTAACATATTAACATATTAACATATTAACATATTAACATATTAACATATTAACATATTAACATATTAACATATTAACATATTAACATATTAACATATTAACATATTAACATATTAACATATTAACATATTAACATATTAACATATTAACATATTAACATATTAACATATTAACATATTAACATATTAACATATTAACATATTAACATATTAACATATTAACATATTAACATATTAACATATTAACATATTAACATATTAACATATTAACATATTAACATATTAACATATTAACATATTAACATATTAACATATTAACATATTAACATATTAACATATTAACATATTAACATATTAACATATTAACATATTAACATATTAACATATTAACATATTAACATATTAACATATTAACATATTAACATATTAACATATTAACATATTAACATATTAACATATTAACATATTAACATATTAACATATTAACATATTAACATATTAACATATTAACATATTAACATATTAACATATTAACATATTAACATATTAACATATTAACATATTAACATATTAACATATTAACATATTAACATATTAACATATTAACATATTAACATATTAACATATTAACATATTAACATATTAACATATTAACATATTAACATATTAACATATTAACATATTAACATATTAACATATTAACATATTAACATATTAACATATTAACATATTAACATATTAACATATTAACATATTAACATATTAACATATTAACATATTAACATATTAACATATTAACATATTAACATATTAACATATTAACATATTAACATATTAACATATTAACATATTAACATATTAACATATTAACATATTAACATATTAACATATTAACATATTAACATATTAACATATTAACATATTAACATATTAACATATTAACATATTAACATATTAACATATTAACATATTAACATATTAACATATTAACATATTAACATATTAACATATTAACATATTAACATATTAACATATTAACATATTAACATATTAACATATTAACATATTAACATATTAACATATTAACATATTAACATATTAACATATTAACATATTAACATATTAACATATTAACATATTAACATATTAACATATTAACATATTAACATATTAACATATTAACATATTAACATATTAACATATTAACATATTAACATATTAACATATTAACATATTAACATATTAACATATTAACATATTAACATATTATTAACATATTAACATATTAACATATTAACATATTAACATATTAACATATTAACATATTAACATATTAACATATTAACATATTAACATATTAACATATTAACATATTAACATATTAACATATTAACATATTAACATATTAACATATTAACATATTAACATATTAACATATTAACATATTAACATATTAACATATTAACATATTAACATATTAACATATTAACATATTAACATATTAACATATTAACATATTAACATATTAACATATTAACATATTAACATATTAACATATTAACATATTAACATATTAACATATTAACATATTAACATATTAACATATTAACATATTAACATATTAACATATTAACATATTAACATATTAACATATTAACATATTAACATATTAACATATTAACATATTAACATATTAACATATTAACATATTAACATATTAACATATTAACATATTAACATATTAACATATTAACATATTAACATATTAACATATTAACATATTAACATATTAACATATTAACATATTAACATATTAACATATTAACATATTAACATATTAACATATTAACATATTAACATATTAACATATTAACATATTAACATATTAACATATTAACATATTAACATATTAACATATTAACATATTAACATATTAACATATTAACATATTAACATATTAACATATTAACATATTAACATATTAACATATTAACATATTAACATATTAACATATTAACATATTAACATATTAACATATTAACATATTAACATATTAACATATTAACATATTAACATATTAACATATTAACATATTAACATATTAACATATTAACATATTAACATATTAACATATTAACATATTAACATATTAACATATTAACATATTAACATATTAACATATTAACATATTAACATATTAACATATTAACATATTAACATATTAACATATTAACATATTAACATATTAACATATTAACATATTAACATATTAACATATTAACATATTAACATATTAACATATTAACATATTAACATATTAACATATTAACATATTAACATATTAACATATTAACATATTAACATATTAACATATTAACATATTAACATATTAACATATTAACATATTAACATATTAACATATTAACATATTAACATATTAACATATTAACATATTAACATATTAACATATTAACATATTAACATATTAACATATTAACATATTAACATATTAACATATTAACATATTAACATATTAACATATTAACATTTATTAACATATTAACATATTAACATATTAACATATTAACATATTAACATATTAACATATTAACATATTAACATATTAACATATTAACATATTAACATATTAACATATTAACATATTAACATATTAACATATTAACATATTAACATATTAACATATTAACATATTAACATATTAACATATTAACATATTAACATATTAACATATTAACATATTAACATATTAACATATTAACATATTAACATATTAACATATTAACATATTAACATATTAACATATTAACATATTAACATATTAACATATTAACATATTAACATATTAACATATTAACATATTAACATATTAACATATTAACATATTAACATATTAACATATTAACATATTAACATATTAACATATAAACATATAAACATATTAACAAATAAATAAATAACAAAAATTTTATTTATTTTTTTATTTTCCTATGGAAGCTATATGATCCGCCCGATCCGTCTCGTTCCGACATACATACATATGTATATACTACAAGCAATAGAGAGACAACATTTGGGAAAGTTTCAAGCAGATAGCTTTAAAACTGAGAGACTAGTTTACGTAAAAACAATCGAACGGACGGACAGACGGACATGGCTTGACCGGCTCTACTGGTGATGCTGATAAAGTATATTTATACGGTCGGAAATGTCTCCTTTACTGCGTTGCAAACTTTTGACTGAAATAATAATACGCTTTGCAAGGGTATAAAAATCGACCTGAAATGGGCTGCAATTTATTTTTGCTTCCTTTCTTGTGTTTTTATAAAATTTAAGATCGTTTTGACACACAACAAAGCTGACGGACTTGCCTATTTAATATAATTAATGTCCTCGCAATATATTTATAAATTCCATTTATTCTACTTAATTAATAGAGTGCAGATGAGCGCAAGGGAAAGAGCCAGATCTCCAGTTTTTGGCCGTGTTGTTAACCGAGAGCCAAATACGCCCCAACGCATTCCATTTGAACACCACCAGAGATTGGTTGAATTTGGACCGAGTGGTCCTGGTTCAAGTCAATCTCGTTATTATGGTGCTGAAACAAGACCTCAAAACGGAGCTTCTTCTTCATCACGTAGGTCAAGTAAAAACCGATACATGGGAGTCCCAAGTGGTCCTGGAGCAAATGGTAAAGAAAGTCAGAATTCAGTTGCCATACAAGGCAGTTTTCAAAAGCTCAAAGAACTTATATGGACTGAAAGAGCTAAAGAGTTAACAGAGCAACGTAGAGACGAGGAGTTGGAAGCACGTGCAGCTGCACTTAAAGAAATTGCTAACGGGAAAAAGTAAGCCTAATGTTAAAACAATATAACCACTTTAAGCTAAAATAATTCCAATCAACAGCATACTAGGTTATATTCCTCACCCCGGTAGCTCCACTGATTCCATTTTAATGGATGAAAATAGAAGTCCGGACGGAAATAGTTATCAATATAGTGACGTTAATCGTGTGCCGATTCTGCAAAATTTCGAAATCGATAAACCAAATAAAAATGGACATAGAACTGGCGTTAGAGCAAGCACACGTCGCATTGGTAGTTCGCCTTCTTACAATAAAAAAGAAAGTCAAGCAAATAAAGAAGTAAAAAGCTTATTTTCTGCAACTAATGGCTTTGGTCTAGGCAACAGATCAGGCCGCATTAAAATTCCACCAAGTAAGCTTTTTTCAAGCGATTCCACCGAAAGAGATCATTCCGTTATTGGTATTCCAAGAACATACCCAATACGAAAATCGCACTTTAGAGAGAGAAATCGATCCCTTCTAAAAGAGGTAAGCAATTTTTGTTTTAAGTTTTTATTAATTGATTTGTTTTAAAAAGCCATTTTTATAGGGTTGTCGAAAATTTTAAAAATATCGTATCGATGATATTTTTTTTATAAAAAAAAAAATAATAATATTTAAAATATCACATAAAAATGTCGATATATTTGATTTTTTTTGTGTTAAATGAAAAAATTGACCGCCCACAATAAAAAGACAATAAGTTTCTTTTTAAAAACAATAGTATTTTATTATATATGTATATTTTATGACCAGTATGCATGGTTTAGGGATATTAATAACACCCTTTGCGTTATGTGTGCGTCAGTGATCCTGCTTCTTGAGTCGCACACAACACATTTGATGGCGGACTCCGATTTTTATATCCGTATAGTTTGATTTTACACTCAATTTCTTATTTCGCGCCTGAATTCTTTCACTCGATGTCGCTTTGGAATTCAGAGTGACCGAAGACAAAAATATCAAAAAATATCAAAAAAAAAAAATGTCGGAATTCCGATATTTGAGCAAATAAAAAATCACGATATAAATATATAATTTTTAGGAAAAAATGTCGATATATTGATATTTTGATATATTATCAACAACCCTACATTTTTATTCCCGTGAAGAGGGCAGAATTATAATTTCAGTCAAAGTTTGGAACGCAGTAAAAAAGAAATTTCCGACCCTATAAAGTATAATTTTTAAATTTTAATTAAGTTTTAATTAAATTAAAATCGGAAATCTATATCATATAGCTCCCATTGGGAGCTAAAAAAATAAACAAAACAAGAAAGGAAAGCTAATTTCGGGCGGAGCCGAAGTTGATATACCCTTGCAGAATACTCTGTAAATTATATTCTCCAAAATTATTCATATGTTGCATTCTTAATACTCATAAAAAATCCCAACTTCCTAACTTTAAAAACACCAAAGTTATAGCATTTCCAATCGTTCAGTTATATGGCAGCTATAAGATATAGTCGGCCGATCCTTATGAACTTTGGTAGGTCGGATTGATTGGCCAAAAATAAAGCCCATAGAAAATCCCAACTTCCTAACTTAACAAACACCAAAGTTATGGCATTTCAGATCAATCAGTTATATGGCGGCTATAGGATATAGTCGGCCGATCCTTATAAAATTTGGTAGGTCGGATTGATTGGCCAAATATAAAACCGATAGAAAATCCCAACTTCCTAACCTTACAAACACCAAAGTTATGGCATTTCCGATCAATCAGTTATATGGCAGCTATAAGATATAGTCGGCCGATCCTTATGAAATTTGGTAGGTCGGATTGATTGGCCAAATATAAAACCCATAGAAAATTCCAACTTCCTAACATTACAAACACCAAAGTTATGGCATTTCCGATCAATCAGTTATATGGCAGCTATAGGATATAGTCGGCCGATTCCGGCCGTTCCGACATATATACTGCGTGCAAAGGAAAGAAGGCTGTGTGCAAAGTTTCAACTCGATAGCTTTAAAACTGAGAGACTAGTTCGCGTAGAAACAGACAGACGGACAGACAGACGGACAGACAGACGGACAGACAGACGGACAGACGGACATGGCTATATCAACTCAGGAGGTGATCCTGATCAAGAATATATATACTTTATAGGGTCGGAGATGTCTCCTTCAATGCGTTGCACACTTTTGACCAAAATTATAATACCCTCTGCAAGGGTATAAAAAAGATGAAATAAAATTGTATATTGCTGTTTTTCTGTTTATCAAAATATTCCTTTTGGATTTCCTATATCAGAATTACGCTTTTAGTTTTGTCAAAATCGGACTACAATATCATATATGTACATATGTAGCTCTCAAAGAAACGATGCCAAAATGCAGCGCAAAATCGACATATGTATGTACATATGTAGCTTCATGGTTTTTAGTAATGTAGGCATAGCAATCGAAATGTCATTTTGTAATAACTGAAAAGGTATATAAACTTTGGCTTGCCGTAGTTTGCTTCCTTTCTTGTTTAAATTAGTTTATGTTTCAAAATGTATTCGGATTTTCGATTTTAGTAAAACCACCTCAATGCAAATATGCAGGAATATGACTCGTGTGATAGCTTGATATAATATACAAATTAAAAACATAACTAATAATTTAAATTGTTCTTCATTAAAGCCGCAAGTCAGTGAAAATTTCCATCGCGTTCTGAGGGGATTAACAGCATGGCCTTTTAAAAAATCTACACCAAAACTAGAACGAAATAAATTTACATCTAATGGAAATGAGTTAAGCCACCGACTGGATATACTTGGACAATACAGAAAGCCGAAAGATGACAATTATTATACATCTTTTGAGAATTATTATGAAATAAAGGAACAAAAACCAGAAAATAAAGAATTTGAGATGGTATTATACGACTACAATAATTATTAAAGAATCTGTGGTACCTTCTTAGTTTCCATTTGTTTGTGGAAAAATATGTCTATTTATTATAAATTGAAAGTCACCTAAGTAAAATTAAATCAAAATTGTAAATAAATTTCAATGTTTAAAGTATTATCACTTTTATAAAGCCATTTTAGAAACCAAATAATTTACAATCATTTTTGTTCTAACGCGGTTATAAAAGTCCAGTGACTACACAGGGCAACAAAATTTCGTTGTGAACACTTAATGGCAATTAATTATGATAAATTAGGCTTATCTAAGCAAAGTTTCCCACTACATCTTTATTCCATAATCTTTTTTTTATTGTTTTATATTCTTTCAAACAATATTATTGCATTTTTGGCAAATAAATAGTCTTATGGGTCTTCTTTATTGTCGTCTTTTGTTTGGCTTCTTAATTTAAACAGAAAAGAATATATATGCCAATTAAAAAAAGATCAAATTTAAAAAATATCAATTTGTGAACAGCGTTTACAAAGCAAACAAAAATATTAAGGTGGTTTGATCGATTGAGAAGTCTAAAATTTTTTTCTTTTCTTTAAAAAGTCTTTATAATATAAAGCTAAATAAAATTGTTGTTTAAATAATAAAAGTTGTTGAGGAAATTACCATACAGTCATCAAAACAATTCCGACCGGTGTTATTTTACTCATTATTCCCCTGCAAGAAATTAAACCCCATTAAAGACGTATAGTCTACGTCCATGTATATAAAGACATAGCAAATATTGCATTGCCCTTCTGAACATATGTATATTACTTCAAATAGCTTTAGGCACATTTTGTCAGTCGTCACAGGAGAAAACGAATGAAAAACAATTTTAGAAATCCAGAATATTTTACGAGACTTTACGTCTCAAATGATAAATACATAACGTCTTTATTGAAGAAAATAATTGTATTTAATTTTTATATGCTGTTCACACATTGATATTTTTCGATTTTGCTGTTATTTAAAGGGATTTTATCGCATGTACTCTCAAAGGCTATAATACAAAAGACCAAGGATACTTTTAAACATAAATGATGAAATATAAATATGAAAACTTGGCTTCAAATTAACAGAAATTAAGATAGCTTTTCACATATGAAAAGTATTACGGCTAGTCAAGTAATCAATTCGTGCGTCTTTATAATTTGTTGCCCTCCAAATACTTTTTGAAACAATAACATAATTAAAAAATAAATTTTACCGATATCTTCGTCTGACCGTTTGAATTACCAAAAAATATTAAAAACATATATTTTTACTGTATTTATCTTATTTCAATGTTTTTAGAAAAAGTATTTAACATTTTTACAAAAAATCCAATGCAACTTTAAACATAAATTTGTCATGTAAAATTAAATATAGAAAGTATATTTTACCCTATAAAACGGTCTTAAACAGGAACAATAATTCGAAAAAAATTTAAAAAAAGTTTATTTTTTTTAAATTCTTTATTATTAGGAGCATTTTAGTAAGACCACGTTTTACATTTTGTTCAACTCTAAAGATGGACACCTTAATAACTTGAGTCTATACACCTTTTAGAGGTATTATGAGAAGTTTAAAATGCCAGTCGATCAATGTAAAAACTGTATTCATATATGTGTCATATGTATATTTTTCGTTAGATACATGTATATGTACTAAGTAATGTTACGTTTGAAATTCCACTAACAAAATGCTTCCAACCAATAACAATCAATTGCAAATAAGATATTATGGGCCTATTCAGTCAATATAAATTCGGAATTTCGGAAATCACATTATTAAAATGGTTTAAATGCTTAAGAATTCCACTTTCACGGAAGTACCTACATACAAATTATACAAAACTAAAGTTTACTAATCATTAACTGAAAACATATCACGATCTATAAGTAGACATTACTTTTCAGATGCTTATAATTACTAAAAATAAAAATAAATCAAACCTGTAGCCAATACTGGGTGTCAAAAACATTCCTCTTATTTGATCAACCAATTTTAAAACCTTAAGCTAGTAGGCTTTAAAGCATAAGCCGACGACAACATCTCCAGGGATTTTTGTGACACCCCAGATACTAACGAAAATAAATATATAGATTCGTACTTACCTGCTCAAAAACTACATACATAATCCGACGAATGCAATACAATCAGCATATATGTAACTATTAAAACCCACGGAAATAACCAAAAATATTCAGGCACAACAAATATATCCATATCTTTCGTTATACACACATAAGATACACAATTGTTAAGCCCGTGCCAACAATCGTTAATAATAATGTAGAGTAAAACTTATCTAACTCCAAAGTCTATTTCTTGGAAAACGCTGCAAATATGATATTATTCCAAGTTTTTAAGATGTCGATTTTAATTTTCCTGGATGGTTTAAGCTAGCTTACAAAAAGAGATCTAATGTATGTATGCAAAAACGCATGTAAAATTTTACATATCGAATTATTATACAAACTTTTAATAAAAATATGAACTTTATTGGCTTATTATTAACTATTTAAATGTATATACATTAAACTATAGCAACAAACATAATTATGTACGACGACACATGGTGAGATATATTATATCTAAAATGGTCTGGTT